AGATTTTCCAATGTTGCCCAAGCTGTATCCATTGAACTGACGTTAGGAGGTGAGATTGCCTTGGCTAGGAAATGCTTTGAAAAAATGATATGAGCGTCCCATGTTTAGTAGGCGAGGAAAAGACACGTACTCTGACATCTTCGTCCTCCCTTGTTACTTTGACGGCAAGCGAAATATTTTCGAGTGGAACACGTAGAATCTCTGGTACAATGAACTTGCCCATTTTCGATTCCTGCTTCCTGGTGTACAGCTTATAGCATATACCTGGCTGGGTTCGACCGGCGCGACCCCGACGTTGCCTTGCCTCTGCCAACGTAACCCATGTCTCCACTAAACCAGAAATATCTGATTCTCCGTCGTACTGTGTCTGCTTGACCTTTCCCGAGTCTAAAACGTATATCACGTCATCAATAGTGATAGATGTCTGCGGAAGTATACATTCAGTAAGTCTACACAGTATATTGCTCGGAGACGACTGACCTCTGCAACGTTAGTGGCAGCTATAATTTTCCACTTGGCTGTCTTCATGAATACGCGGCATTGCTCCTCACTTGACAGATTTGCATGGAGAGGCATAATGTCGGTGGGAACACTCGGAGGTAATACGCTCTCTATCATGTCTATACACCGTCGAATCTCTTGTACACCCGGAAGGAAAATGAGGATACCCCCACGAGTCTGCGATGTGGTGATGATGTGCCTGACCACTGCGGCAACCATCTGGAAATGGGGAATGAGTAAAATGTGCTTTCTCCCCACAGCATCCTACCTTATAATCGATGGCGTTGGCCCGCGTAAGATTCTGTAGGGCAGTAACGCATTCGTGACTCAAACCACTGGATGCATACTCGGCACGGAAAGCTTCCTGTTCTTTTCGACTCTCATTTATCCCGGGCTTGACCGCTGGTGGTCGATAGTCTATCGATGAAATAACGTCCTCCAAGTACCTGTTAATCTTCGCATAAAGACAAACGATTTGGATACAAATAAAGACTCACAGATCGGTTACTGGGTGCGTAAACCCGGGGATGGTTAATAAAGGTGCACCACCAAAGTACGTGGTAAAAGTCTCGTGGTCGATGGTAGCAGACATGAGAACGACCTTAAGAGTTTGATTTTCCGTCAAGAGCTCCTTCAATTCCAGAAGTAAGAAGTCGCCATCAACTGATCGTTCGTGTACCTGATTACCACGTCTGGGTGCGAGACAAAACAAAAGTAATTGCATCGTACCTCGTCCACAATGATATGCGAAACGTCTTTCAGCTTGTCGCCGGAGCTGAGGCGTCGAAGAACCACACCAGTGGTACAGAACAAGAGTTTGGTCTCCCGCCTTCTAGTACTTTCACCACGGATAGCATATCCTACTGAACCGTCGTCAAGCCGCTCATTAGATACACGAGATGCTACGCCGATTGCAGATATACGCCTGGGTTGCGTAACGACAATAGATGCCGTCTTTCCCTGGTTGGAGTCGATGAGGGAATCCAAAATGAACTGCGGCACTAGTCAAAGTCAGCTTATAACTATGATTTGGCCATCCTTAACCTACGTTGCGTCGTCTTTCCACAGCCTTGGGGTTGACTTATTAGCGAGAATAAAAAGACGGAGGCTGTACCAACCTGTTTCTCCCACTACAACAACGACACGGTTATCTTCCAGCTTTTTGAGGAACTCGTCTTTAGAGGCAAAAGCCGGCAACTTTCGTCGAACAGCCATGATGTAATCATACTGTGCTTTCTTCGCCCTCCGCAGACTTTTATATTCTTCTTTGATTTGCTGGGAGGTCCTCCGGTCTTGAGAATAAAGATTGCCTCTTCTTCGACCGGTACCCTGGGCGAAGGGCCCCTCCTCTAGTTTCAGATTCGAGGCGACTTCTGAGCGTGGCGAAAAATGCCGGAAAACTGTAGATATCCTGGGTGGCCCGTTGGCTTCTATCTTGGCCCATTCTTCATCCAGAATTGACAAAGCCGTTACGCAGAAGCTTCCGCCGGCATCGAACAGCTCGCCCGACCGTAAGAGTTGGGATAACATATAAAGGCGAACATACGCAGGGACTTTGGAGGATGTCAGGTACATTGGCATGTAATCTACAAAAGAGGTGAACTGTCGCCAATTAGTCGAAATGGAACAAATACCTTGTCGAGGAAATTTTTTCGCGGAGTATAGAATGTGCAACTGAATCGGTGCAGTACAGAGAGGTAGGATGAGCTGGTGCTCGTCGACATGGCCACCGAGACCCTCTACATCTTCCAGATTGATCTCGTATGGTGATAATGTCTTGCTCTTGTCGAATAAACTAGTAACATCTTCGCCAATAAGTCTCTGGCACAAAGTGGCGACAAGAAGATCCCAGGAATTTATCAAGTTCGGATCAGAGAGACATTCCCGAACAATGTGAACAGGCCAACCAGCCTCTTTGGTCGCCTTCTCTATGACCCACCGTGGGTTTAGATCGTCAGTTCCAACATGTACTGAAGTAATAAAAGAGTTGGAGGAATCGACTTCTGGTAGAAAACGTTCGGGAAGATCACATTCTGGTACATGGAAAACCAGGTATTCGATGGATGCTTCTAGGACACCTTGAGAAGCCAGGAGAGTCGCTGAAATGGCAGAAGGTTCAGAGACAAAATCAACCGCTTCCCGAGCTTGGATGGGCGTGAATCCCAGAAGTTGCAGCTTCTGAGTTACCGCCTGTATCTCCTCCTCCGGTATGTCCTTGGGCACTGCGGCTTGGGCACCTTCAGGAAGTGACGCCCAACCCTATCAATCATTGAATAACTATTTTCGTAACAAGAAAAACGGCAGACCTGCTTGACAGCATCCTCAACCTGGTTGCGTAGCTCATTCGACATCTTGACTTCAGGCCAGTTTTGGAAACCAAGAGAAGCCTCCCGGTGCGGGTCTGGTTCGGCCTCAGGTTCAGTACGTTTCTCTGCTGCTTCGGCTGGTCGTTCAAGTTGCTCCGCCATTTTACGAGCGGCAAATGGATTAGTGTCATACATCCATTTGAGATGTTTTGGCGAGTTTTTATGCTCTGCCGCAAGTTGGATCCAATATGACCGTGGTCCTTCTGGCAATACCTTTTTGAGCTGAATATCGTTATTACAAAACTAACGAAATGAGTTCGTAAGAGAAAAGCATCGATTAAGCCGTAGACGAACACGGTACAAGGCGTATGTGGCACCCCAATGTTGGGCTTCAAGGGCGCTTGGCATCACATATGGGGGATCTGGGGTTAGGTGAACAGACTCTTTGTAGGAGTGCTTCTTGTCTTTTCGACTCAAGATGACCGTGGATGTCCAGTCGGCACCTATTTGACGCTATCAAAAAGGGTGTGTCAGCGATTTGAGAACTGCAGTGCCAGGGGCCCAAACCTTACCGTTTCGACAATAGGCTTCTTCCATCCATTCTTTTGGCACCTGAAGTTTGAATGAATGCATATATCTCTGTTCAATCAAGTGGTTATAGAGGAAGATTACCTTTCATGTAGCAAACTCAGAGGATTCTTTGACCCTGGAGGAAACTGAGATTTCTTTCGATTTGTTGGGTCACTTGGTTTACCTGACTGTTTAGAAGAGTTCCCAGCGTTTCCTGGTTTTACGGTCCCTTTTCGGCGAGACATAAGTAGGTGAGGATGCAAATAAAGCTGGACGGTGGCCAAACGGTAGCAGTTCGGCGGGGTGGGATAGGTGTTAGCTCGAAGCTGGGGCTCCGAGTTGATACAGGTGGTACTTGAATAGTACTACGAAAGAATCATATGCTAATGGTCCATGGTGGTTATCGCGTGTGAAACAATGAAAAACGTACATAGGCCGTGTGCCGCAGTACAATGCCAAAGTCGTCCCGTTAAAGTGCAGTGATGATGAAGTGGTGGGCCATCGCAGGGCGTGGCACAAGGTTCATATTCGACGCAATGACAACACGATAAAGTTAAAGAATAGAACGGAAAAGTGATTGTATTCCGTCTCCCTCAGAGACTAAATTCACCTTCAGATCCTAAAACGACAAATAGGTCATAAACCACAAACAAAACATACAGAAGGAAAGAGCACACCTTCGCAGTCAGTGGTAGGTTGATCAGGGCATTGAGTGATGCTACTGAACGAGGTTGCTTGACAAGGTGCAGGAACACTATGAAACAGGCCAGGACAGGTCAGGTCATCCACAATGCCAATGATAAGAAGAACGCACAGGTACTTGTATTATACTTCCCGGAGACAACCCAAGACGTTCGTTCTGTTCCCACTCAGTGCCGTTAAGACAATGTCCGATGTAAAAGTCGGTCAAGATGCCGCCATCGACGATGGTCTACCCACAAGTACACGGTCAGTGATCAAACCAGAATCAATAAGCAGTACGTACACGCGTGGGATACATGGATACTCTGCTAGCCAAACCCTTTCACCGGACTGACAGCACCCTCAAAGTGTGCTTCTCAGCTGAGGAGTGCACTGGTGGTGATGTTCCCTCTTGCGCGCGCTGTAGCTTCCGTGGAGACCAACCACCCTCTTTTCCCCGTCTCGTCAACTTGATTCGCCTGGAGCGCCCATCATTCTCGAGAGTGCAAACGTCTTCAGCATTTGTTTACATTACGGTCCAGATGCTCTTGCGTGTGATATTGAAGAACGGTATCCAGAAAACTGTGTCTCGTATTGTAGGCCTTTGCAGCGGACTTGAATTTGAGTGGAAGTGAAGTTGATGCCTATGGATTGTGACAAGATGAGGATTGGGGACTAAGGTTAAGGCTGTGCTCCTACCAGCAGTATCTATTTCATGAGAGAGGCGTCAGGACCACGAGATATGTAGACTGGTGACCGTCTCTCTGATCACCGGTCGATCACCCTTGACGCGTGACGTTGCAAGCAAGAAAGTGTGATCAGAGAGACTGGTAAATCTGAGTTTGAAATCCCAGTGGTGCGCGGGTGGCTGTGGCAGCATCATGTGAATCTCACGTGAGGGCTTCGGACCGATGGTAACCGATTACCGATTATTTTCACTTGCTTCTTACTTCGATGTATATACTGGCGACGGTAGCGCCTCGTTGTCGTTTAATGCAACCATGTCTGTCTCTGATGATTTTTTTCCTTCTTTGCTGCCTGAACCAATTTTTTCCCCTGCAAAGTCCTTCCGCTTTGACCTCAGTCTCCACAAACTCCCCTCTGCCGCGATCCCAACTCTACTGTACATCTTCCAGCATGTCTTCAGCGAGTCTGAGGCTGTTATATACGCAAAACACTTACTTCTCCCCCTTCGGCTTCCTGAAGAGTCCTTTTTCGAGACACTGTCACCCGTTGAACAGGCCCTCGCTTGGCGAAGTTGTCTATTGGTTTATATTGCTTCCCATGGCACTATTTTCCCGCGTGATGATCAAATACGCGCTGCTCTGTGGTCTGCGCAAGGTCGGGATAGTGTCGTAATTGCACCTACTGGGTGGGGGAAGACGCTGTGTGTCTTGATGCCGCTTCTGTTATTTCCGACAACGACTTCAATCACCGTGTCACCACTGAAACGCCTCCAAATCATGCAGGTATGTCATCTATACTCTTTCTTTCAGTTTACTTAATAGCATGAAAGGCACGGTCCTTTGAACGTTTCCATATCCGAACTCTTTCAATCAATGAAGATACCGATCACTCTGACGAGCTCTGGAAGGTATGTGTGGGGATCTAGGGCGGAAATTAGTATTACTGGAGGCAGTAAGATTTTCGAAGAATGAATTATAGCTAGTTGGAATATTTAGGGACCTATCCGAGGGATTCATGACAGTAATACAGGAGGGAAACGTGTAAACGACGCTATTTACGGTGGACGCGTCTCGGTCCGAAGCCCTCACGTGAGATTCACATGATGCTGCCACAGCCACCCGCGCACCACTGGGATTTCAAACTCAGATTTACCAGTCTCTCTGATCACACTTCCTTGCTTGCAACGTCAAGTGTCCAGAGAGACGGGTTACGAGTCTACGAGATATGAGGGTAAGGACATAGCCTAGTTTAGTAAAGAGACGGCTGAGGAAGAGTAATCAATGCTCAAAAGAGAACGCGTAACAAGTGTGACGTGTGACATTACCGTGGGCGACTACACTTAGGATACTTTAAACATGACAACATCATCATCATGATCGTAATACAGACCCTGTATGTTGGCCACACAGGGAAATAAGAGCACTGGTCCTCTGATTTCCCTGGGTGGCTCCCTTCCATCCATATCCCTCCCCTCTCTGGGTCTCAGCCATGATCTGCTCTGGTAACCCACAGACAACAGCCCCTCTCCCTTCATCATCCATCACTTCCTTCGACAACCCGACCCCTCCCTTTTTAACACGTGTTGAGTTGTGTCGGATTGTGTGAATTCTATAAGCAGCATACTCTGCCCAGTCTCTTTTCATTAATAACATCGCAAAGTATTGCTGATATCAAATCCATCTTCGATAACGCCCTGGTCACAGACACGTACTAAAGACATGACGCAAACTTGAACATGACGATGGTAACTGTAATGGCCCTGGGTTGGTTCTATGGCCAGAGCTTCATGAGCACAAAGCTGTTAGAGAAATACCGAATCTGAGGCCATCGAGTCCACGTTTCAAGACTCAGCGCCTATCGTCACGCCCTCTATTATTTAGGCCTTCTAGTATCTTCGCAGTCGCTCGATTGTTGACGTCAGGAATACATCTAAAGCATGTTCATCACTTGATAAGTAACACGTCTTCGTACCAAAAGCGCCAGGTGACGGTGTGTTCGGCGGTTGTTGATGTTGGTATGAAGCTAGTAGCTGGCAGATCCTGGAGGAATCCCTGTCCAAAAGTGGCAATCACCGCCAAGGCTACAAGGCTCTGGGAAGCTACTTACATTTGAGATGAGCATGGGTATGGAAACGCAGAAAATGAATGATATGCGAGCCCAGAAGAAAACTGGCCACTTAATCGAAAATGGAAGAAGACTGACTGAAGGGAATTAAAGAGTAATGAACGTCTGCCAGAAAGAATCGTCGCGACTCGGACTATGAAATGATCCCTGGTTTCGACGCTAGTTTCCTTTGGTTAATGTGGTATCTTCGCATGAGCCTCCATGATTCCGCTGACGACTACATCAATGTTTTGCGTCGTATTTTCTGCAGAGCGCGCACCAAGGGAAACGAGTAGGTTTAGATACGGCATAATCCATCGAAAAATAGAATACATAGGAAGCATGATATATATATATATAAAAGATAATATGACGAAAGATAGCGATCCAAATTTAGTTCAAAGTCTCAGTCCGACTTTCAGTCGTTCGTTATGACTCCGACTTGTGAGCCCTGCTGCATCTTTCTACAACTACCACGAGCTCATCCGACCGCTCCCGTTGAGCTTCAATGTCCGTTTCAAGAATTGTGTTCTGCATGGTGGATTCTTGAAGGTTTGTCGTGCCAAGTTCCGAAGGTGCTATCCGGAAATGAAGTGCAGACACCATACTCTCATCAGAGTTATCATTTGGTCGTGTATGTCCTGCCGCTGCCCGACCAACAAGCAGCGTGGGTGCAGCTCCCTATGCAAGGTGCTGAATAAATTATAAGAAATTCCAAAGTCTTGAACGCACCTTCGCGATGGAACCTATGACATCAAGGTAAAACATTCCAAAATCATTGCGAATGGTGAGAGCCAAACATAGTACCAGAGATATTGAATAGAGGGCTGAAGACTCAACCAGCACTTCAATAAAACGATGATAAACTCTCAGTCGGCCCTCTGCTCCACGCCTAAACCCGACCACAGATAAAATGCGGTAAATGATGAATAAAGTGCACCATAATGTCGTCGCCAGGATAAAGGATATGTAGAGCATTCCGAATACTCCGGGTAAATTGAAGTATTCTTCATATAATTCAATGATTTTTGTCGCTACACAAAAAGTTGGATATATGAAAAGAATAGATGAGCTCGGACACTTTACCAGATGCGGAAATTAAGGAAAGTACTGGAAGCAGAATAAACAGCCAGCGATGACCCCAAACTATCCAACAACACCAGATCTAGAGTAGAACGTCGGTGAGCTGATGTGGAGAATCTCCAGCGGAATCATATGCACCATATACAAGTCCGAGAGAATGGTACCCATAAACGCAGCGATACCTGCTTCCAAAATGGTAGCTTTGGACGCATCGTTAAACCTCGAATATACGGTCGAAAAAAATTTCCCATTATCGATGAATGCGGATCGTATATATGACCACTTGGTAGCAAGACTGATGGTAGTCAGAGCATAGAGAAAAATGATCATGACCACTAAGGCTCGTCGAATGGGCCAACATTTATTGATGACTACGTGTTTCATGTTAGCTTCGTTGTTGTAGTAGAGGTACTCCGGGCTTACATATATTCCACAGCGTAACAGCAAAAATGCCGGTGTATATTCCTGTCATCAGTCAACACTTACATGTCAAGAAACTGAACCTGGTCGCTAACCATGTAATAGCGCGCAGAGAATTCCGCAGTTCAGCTGAGCGTCGAGAAATTGAAATATGTAAGCTTTATCGTTGTCGGTAGGATCTGAAGGAATATTTGCCTGAGCCATCATGGGGGAAAGCAAGAGCAAAGGAGTAGTAGTAATTTTAACTGGTTTATAAGAACACATACCAACGTTATAAATACTGTATTGTTACTGGACACTGCCTGCTGCAAAGATAATCACCGCCTTTGATTCCAACTCAAAAGGGTTCCTTCTCAGATCCTTAGATATGTCTCAGCGCAGATGCCAGCTTGAACTGGATCCGTAATGGCATGAACCTGAGATTACTGCAAAGTTGACAGAAAAAAGGTGGAAGGTTTCAATGGCAAGCATGATCGTAACGCAGATGGATCCTGAATCCTAGCAGGGATTGGCAAGGGTATCGACGTTCGCTAGGTATATAGAGATGAGATCCCACGACACGGCTATACACGATGGGAGAAAGTTTACCCTGGAACTGGTGCATCTAACAGAGAAATAAATAGAGAGGCAGACAATACAGCACATACCCCATGATGAGCTTGAAGAACTCCGATCTGTTCCAGACGCAGTTTCCCTTGCCCGCACTGGGTAAATCTTTGAAGCCATGGCATTACGCAACGTCTCGGAGTCGACCCATCTTTGTTTGCATCGATAGTTCTTCACTTAGACGCTGAAATGGACAAAAGTAGCTGTGATAACGCACATCAATACTGAGAGAATAGACTGCCAAGCCATAGAAGCAAACATCGATACGACCGATGCCGACATGGCACAATGCCATTGGCGGGAAGCGGTTTCAAGTTACACAGAAAAGTGACCGGAGCACCTCGAAAAGATCACGAAGAGAAGATGCCCGCTCGATGAGCGATGAAGAGGACAGGGTTGCATAGATGGGTTCTTTAACCCAGAGATGTTGCACTAACATCCTGGAAGTGACGTTTCGGCACCTTTGTCATCTCAGGCGATACCAATAATCCCCCAGAGGCGAGCTAGATAACACGTCAAAATAGCGATTATGGTCCAGGCCAACGGCACTTTACAAGATTCACCTATCTTATCCCCCTCCTTGGGCACCTTGCAGCTTCTATAGCACTGGTTTCACCGTTATGTGATGATGTGATGATCATTGACGCTAAGGTTCCGTAACCCGACTTCATGGAAAACATTTCTGCGGTTCCGAAATTTCCCAGTGATGATGGATTCGGGGTAATTGAGGACGCAGAGGTAGAACTTTATTGGTGCTGGCATAGCGCTGGCCTGCAAGTCACGAATAAATAGACAGCTTGCAATCACCAAGGCTCCAGGAAGGACGGTTGATAGATAATATGCCGTCAAACGAAGCTTCGAGCCATAATAGAAGTAAGTTGAGATCCCAATGTGATGACAACTCCACCGTGGTCTGTTATTAGTTTGAATACAGTTCGTCTCGTGGAGACAGCCGATAAACACGAAGAAATTCACAACATGCACGTGCTGCCTGCTTTATGTTTTGACATCATGATTTTGGGGCGCCACTTCGTCTCATCGCATCAATCAAGCTCGGCACCTCATCATCGTTTGCAGTCAACACGGCCATGGCTACCTCGATGGGCATACTTCCAGAGATAGCAGATGAGTATTCATCCTACGGTTGTCCTCGTCACAGCATTGAGGAAGGAGATGAAAATGGGCCACTCTTGAAAGCCATTGGTAAACCGAAAGCACCTTGATTATTCTACCCCTACTTGTCAATGTCTCAGATCGACCCAGCCAGTGGTGCAAAAATCAAAACCATCAAGCTCTGGTCGTAATACAAACCCTGTATGTTGGCCACACAGGGAACTACAGGGAAATAAGAGCACTGGTCCTCTGATTTCCCTGGGTGGCTCGAAAACTGGAAAACTGGATTTATTGGCCACCTCTGCTGATACAGCTCAGGTAAATAAGCGCAAACTAATCTACCTCGGTAGCTCATTGTAAGTAAAGGTACACGTATGAAGGGAAACGGTCAGGACGATAAGATAGGAGATAAAAAGGATGGTAAATCAATGGCTACGGCGTTATTATTCTTTTTCGATGGAGCCGGACGTACCCTTCGCTTATATTCCGCCCAAATCCTGCCAGCCAGACGAATGCATGACGTGTGCCACGTGTGAGCGATGCGTACCAACAGACGACTTGTCTTCGCTCCCGGCAAACCAGTAAGTGCGGGCAAGGGTGGCGTTAGGCCAAGGTAGAAGCGAGATAGAGATTGGGGCCAAACGGGGCCATCTTCAAAGAGACATCGGACCACCTGAAGAAAGGACCTGCAAATGAGCAAGGGTACTTCTGCAGAGTCCAGGATACGGGATGTCTCGGTAATCAGTGTTTGTGTGGCATGTTGGCGGAAGGAGCGATACACAGGGCACGAGACGAAGACGTGGTGGACGGTTTCCAGTGCATCGCATCCACTGATGCACATGGGGGATACGTTTCCGAAGCGTCGGAATCGTGCGTACGTCGTGTCCAGCTGATCTGATCTCGCGTAGAGCTGTACCAAGGCTGAATATGCCGAGGAGGCCCGCAAATAGGGATGTTCGGGAGGTGTGTGTTGGTCGTGGAACGGCAGTAGCATCGTCATGGCAGGGCGGAAGTCTGGGCTAGAATAAGCAGCGGAAGTGAGTACAGATGGCAGATATGATGATATACTTGTTTCAATGTAGCCGTCGTTTGGTGAGTAAAGCATAAAAGAATCCATAAAGAAAGTAGGTAAGGGTGCGGGAGGTGGCCGAATTTGTAAATGCTGAGAACCTGATGCGAGCCGATCTGCAAGCGCATTAACTGTTGAAGGGGTCGAGGAGGAGTTGGTGTGAGCTGGAGTGTAGATGATATTGGGAGGATGATGTGGTGGTGGAGAATGCTGCAAGAGATGAAGGAGCCATCGGTAGAGCGAACGACCAGGAAGAGATGACCATTGATGAGGCAGAGGAGGGAGGTGGAGAGCGGAAGATACAATACGAGAAGAGTTGAGGTGGTCGGTATAGAGAGTTGGAGAAGAGGGTAGGTGAGAAGGGGGTGATGGTAAATTGTATTGATGTATTGTTGATGCTATGAGTCCGTACGTCTCGCCATGATAAACCCACGCTGAAGTACGGAAGCAGTCGAGATTCATGGCCAGGGCAGAGGAATGAGAAATTGACGAGAAGGTTACTGAACGTTGATGTCGGAAAGAGGGTGCAGCCGGAAGCATAGATGCGTCAGATGCGAAAATCCCAGGAGGAATGGAGGTGGGAAAGGGCGCGTGAGGGGAAACAGCGTAGTAGGCATTGATGAGATCTTGTGCTTGTTGCATACGCAACCTTGGAGGTAAACCCAGGAACCAAAGGGGCTCCAAGTCCAGACACTGACTCGCAGCTGCACCACGGAGGAGATTGTCATCCGTGCCAGCGATCTGTATGCGAGTTTGGCAACCAACCGCTCTCCGTCGTCTCCCTACAACATTATCTGTCATGTCCGAGTCCGTAGCCATATACCCATTGACCAGATCCATCAGCGTTAAATCGGAAAGCCACTGTGAGGTTTGTAACCACTGTTCTTGAGCGCGAGTGGTAGCATTTTGAAAGTGGACATTGGGATGAGGTTGTAGTTGCACAACGTCATGTTTTGCGGGATCTAGGGTGAAGGATGCGATGTCAAAGAGGTGAGTCAGTCCGGCATTAGCCAAGTTGGTTATAAACTGTGGTGGTAGACTGAGACGAGTGTGTAACGTGCGATTCAGGTGACGCAGAGACACATCGCCATAGAAAAGGAAAGAGAGATCCGTGTTACGGATGGACAAACCGTTTTGGCGCATAGTGTCATGTGCTCGCAGTGTGCTCCCATCCATCCACATCCCGCCCCGGGCCGGGCCCTCTCTGCCATGATTCTGCTCTGGTAACCTATTCCACGATTCCCACCGACAACAGCCCCTCTCCCTTCATCATCCATCACTTCCTTCGAAAACCCGACCCTTCCCTTTTTAACGTGTGTTGAGTCGTGTCGGGTCGTGTGAATTCTATAAACAGCGTATTCTGACCCGTTTCCTTTTCTCAACGACATCGCAAAGCGTTGCTGATATCAAATCCATCTTCAGTGGCGCCTGATCGCAGATACACACTAAAGATATGACGCAAACATGACGATGATAATCGTAATGAGTTGGCAAGGCAAACCGGGAACCACCGATATTCATTCTGCTCAAGGATAAAGTGAGTGAAATCTATTGCAGTATTATAACTGAACGATGCTAAATAATATGATAGTACATAAACCAACGAGAGTACATAGCGAAACAGTTTAGATCTTCTATACAGAGCATACACACAAACCGACGAAGGAAACTAGGGTCTTTGTTTAACCAGAGCACATCACGCAAGCGTCTTTGTTTTCCAGCGAGCATAGAAGCTTCTCAGCTTCATACTCGCGCTCCTTCTGCCGTCTCAACGCTGCTGCATACTCCGGATTCTCTTCAGCAACCTCTTTCAGGACATCATCCAGCATCGATGATGACGATGAAGATGAAGATGTCGATGACGACGACGACGACGGTGACAAAGTAGGGGTATCTGAGGGCGACACTGTAGGCGACGTAGATGATGAGGAGGCAGGTGTGGGTAAAGCATTAAGGGTATTCTTAGCGGGGTTGACGACAGGGGCTGCGGGTGTGAGAGTACGCGACAAGGGAGGTGTGGCTTGGGACTGGTGCACTTTCGCCTCTTTCAGAACGCTCTGGTCGACGGTGAACTGGATGGCCTGGGCCGCAGACCGTGTCCGAAGGTAATACATGCCCGTCTTCAATCCCTTCCTCCATCCATAGAAGTGCATGCTTGTCAACTGACCGAGCGTCGGGGCTTGGAGGTGGATGTTTAGACTCTGACTCTGGCAAATGAAGGCACCACGATCAGCAGCGAGGTCAATGATCTTCTTCTGACTGATCTCCCATACAGTCTTGTAGATGGCTTTGACGTTATCAGGAATGTTGGGAATGTTTTGTATAGACCCATTGTGTGCGATAATCATGTTCTTCATGTTATCGTCCCAGAGACCAAGGTCAACGAGTTCACGGAGTAGCCAAGGACAGACGACCTGGAATTCACCAGCGAGCACACGACGAGTATAGATGTTGCTACAAAGACAATGAGTAATAACATTACGTCGAAGGAGAGACAACACACCTCGTGTAGGGTTCAAAGCATTCATTGAAACCGAGAATCTGACTGGTTGATGCAGTTGGCATGGGAGCGGTCAATAAAGAGTTTCGGAGGCCCGTCTTAGCAATCTTCGCCTTCAGGGAATCCCAATCCCAGAGATCCGTCGGCGTAACGCCCCAAAGGTCGTACTGGAGCTGACCTTGTTGAGCAGGACTGCCCATCCACGTTTCGTAAGGTCCATCCTTCTCTGCCATCTCAGCGCTAGCCTCCAGAGCACCATGGTAGATGGTTTCGAAGATCTGTATATTGAGCTTCTTGGCCTCGGGAGAGTCGAAGGGCATGTGGAGAGCCATGAAGGTGTCAGCGAGACCCTGCACACCGATACCAATGGGACGGTGCCGGAAGTTCGAACGGCGTGCTTCGGGAACAGGATAGTAATTGACGTCGATGATGCGATTCAGGTTGAATGCGACAACCTTAGCAACAGCATGAAGCTTCTTGAAGTTGTATGTACCGTTCGAAATGAAGGTAGGGAGGGCAAGCGACGCTAGATTGCAGACTGCGATTTCATCCGGAGAAGAGTACTCAATGATCTCGGTGCATAGGTTGGATGACTTGATAACACCGAGGTTCTTTTGATTCGACTTGGCTACAATTACGATCAGACCCGATACTCAACAAAAATAACGAAATCACTAACCGTTGGCGGCATCTTTGTAGACCATGAAAGGGTTTCCGGTCTCAACTTGGGCATCGAGAATCGCATACCACAACTTCTGTGCTGGGACCGACTTGCGTGCACGACCTTCCTTCTCATACTTCTCATAGAGCTTCTCGAACTCCTCACCATAGACCTCATGGAGACCAGGTGCCTCGTTGGGACAGAAAAATGACCACTCGGCGTTGGCTTCAACACGCTTCATGCTATTAATATATGATCAGTATAAAGACACTCAAAATGTGCTTCATCACTCACAAAAGGTCAGGAATCCAGAGTGCATAGAAAAGATCGCGTGCACGGCTCTCTTCTTTGCCGTGGTTCTTTCTAAGGTCTAGGAACTCAAAGATGTCGGGATGCCAAGGCTCAAGATAAATGGCAAATGCTCCAGGACGCTTATTACCGCCTTGATCGACATAGCGGGCGGTAGCGTCATAAGCTCGCAGCATAGGAATGATACCATTAGAGTATCCGTTAGTCCCGGCGATGTATGATCTATTAATCCTATTAGCAAGAATAGATGGCTATGAATGATGATAGACATACCCAGTGGCACGAATGTTATGAATGCTGAGACCAATACCACCAGCCGTCTTACTAATCATGGCGCAGCTCTTTAGGGTATCGTAAATGCCCTCTATGGAATCGTCCTTCATACAAACGAGGAAGCAAGATGATAGCTGAGGGTGGGGGGTCCCGGCATTGAATAACGTCGGCGATGCGTGGGTGAAGTACCGTTCAGACATGAGGTTGTATGTTTCGAGCACACGGTCGATGTCGTTGCCGTGAATACCGACGGCGACACGCATTATCATGTGCTGAGGGCGCTCAGCAACACGTCCATTGAGGCGAAGAAGGTATGATCGCTCGAGAGTCTTGAAACCAAAGCTAGAAGGAAAATGATTACGATAACTATCACGACGCATGCAAATGCAACTCACTAGTTGTAGTGGAAGTCACGGTTATATATGATGGCGGAGTCAAGGATTTCAGCATTAGCTTTGACAACTTCATACGTCTCTTTGGAGATCATTGACGCGGGTCGGTTGTTCTTCGGGTTGACTATATCCTTGTGAGATGTTGACAAGTAAACCAAGATAAGAAACGTACCGTATGTGTAAAGGTCCTCAATAACATGGGAAAAAGTCTTCTTAGTTTCCTTGTGCAAGTTAGAAATGGCAATGCGCGCGGCGAGGACGGCATAGTCGGGGTGCTTGGTGGTTAGGTAGGCAGCAGTCTCAGAGGCAAGATTCTACAGAATAGCTCAGCGGCGAAATTGTGCGAGAATGATTGGTAACTGACGTCGAGTTCTACTGTAGTAACACCCTGATATACACCTTGCACGACTTTCTGAGTGACCCTACGACAATGGTAAGCGACGCGCTTTTGATGGCAAAACGACCCTGGCGTACTCGATGGGATTAACATAGTTCATGTCGAGGCCATAGCACAGCTTATCGATGCGCGTTGTGATCTGCATATAAGGATGTTAGCCAGCCCCCGACGCGTGACTAGGTGAAAGATGTGCTCGCCTTGTCGAACTGGACGCGTTCCTTGCGCCTGAAGAAGCAGAAACAACAGTCAGTCACAACAGGGACGCGCTGCGACGCGTAGAAGGAACCAACCCATCTGCAAAGGAAAAGACGATGAGACAGTGCGCAGCGCAAAGGTAGACAACGTACCTCTCTTGAAGACATAGGCCATAGACATGTTGAACAGCGTAGAAGGTCAATACAGTCAGAGAGATGAATGGGAATCGCAAGGGATGGAGAGGGAGATAGAGGGACAGGTGGTGGTAGAGAGACAAGGGTTACTGGAAAAAAACGCGTCTATAAATTATGTCTCTGACTAAGCGTCCCGTTTAGGAAATCTTCGTCCTGATGGCTTTCAACGTGGACTCGATGGACTCGTCAGACTGTGCCGAGACACTTGTGGATACAAGACAATATGAAAATGCATCTGAGAGACTATTGTCGCGTGCACAAAAAATTTCAGAATATTCTTTCTTTCTGCTGGACATGTATACATTCTTTAATTGGCGGTCACGAGATTTCAACAAGACGCGCTGTTGTGCTCTATCGACGCGTCTGAAACACGACGCGTGATTACAGTGGTGCCACTTTATGCCGCTCGTGTCATTCCCATCAATCAAATCATGATATGCATGAGTCATGACGAATCAATTCGGATCCGATGAACTATGCCGCAAGCCACTATATGAGAGCGCGAATACACACACGGCCCAGCGTTGCAAAACTGAGCTCGAGGTGCAACACCCTGCACTAGGCTACAAGCCTGAATATCAATTTAAATTAAGAAGCAACAACCGACACTCGACGCAACAGTTACTCAAGCAGCGACAGAATGCAAAATTGTGAGTTGTCAAAAAGAGAGGGGTGTCGGATTTGGAAAGGAAGTGATGGGACACCTAGTCGAAGGTAGGTTGTCGTTAAAGACGCGGCTCGACATCTGGAGATGGGGTACAAGGCGGTTTAAGGGATGTGGATTATGGAGAGCCAGGTATTACCGGGTTTCTACAAAATAATGAGAATCGATCGAACTTTTTTTCGGCTGCCCAATATAGTAATTCCCCATCTTGGATTCCACCAAATGCATAAGCACTGCGAATTATACCTTCCTGACATACAACTTGGCTATATTCCTCCGAATTATCCATCAAAGGCTCTGATATCACCACCCAGGCCTTTGGTTTGTGATCCTCGTGAATCCGCTAATCTGGTCTGTCAAATCCCAAATCAGCGGTATTTTCTTCATCACTGCAGGCTCCATTGCATGACTTGATGACACCAAAACATTGTGTACTGCTTTTGGAATCAATTCTAAACTGTTTATTCTATCATTACTGTTGCTCTTGGTGTTGAGTCGCTGTTGAAAGAAAACCGGTACCTATGAATTACTATATTGGGCAGCCGAAAAAAAGTTCGA